GGGGGGGGGGGGGGGGGGGGGAGGGCTGTCATCAGGAAAACAACCCCTTCTCCACCTGTGGGGGAGGGCTGTCATCAGGACAACAACCCCTTCTCCACCTGTGAACTTAGCTTTTTCGTGGTTTCTCTTTTTTCTTCTTCTTTTACCTCCCCTTTTACTGTGCCTCTCACGTACAAGGCTCACAATGTTGAAGGTGTCGAGTGCCAGCTGTCTGTGTATTTTGTGTGTTGTCATGTTCGCTATACACAGCTCCACAGAAAAAAGCATGACTGTGCCAGATTGTTTCGTCCGATTGTCGCCAACTCACCAGGAGGTTGAATTCCGACAGTCTGCCCATGTGTCTGTGTTTTAAAATAAACCCCACCCCAGAGCAACCTCTTCTCCTCCCCGTGATTGTGATGTTTACATTGTTTAGGTAAAACAATTTTTTCACTGCCACAATTTGAGTGGTGCAAGGTTAGTAACGCTTTGTGTTGTTGAGCGCTGGACGCCTACACGCCCGAATTTGGCACACCTGCACCTTATGTTCTGTCTGTTTTGTTGGTGATGGTCATTCATATGATTTGAGTCATTTGACCGGTTCCACACAGGGAAGCGTAGGGGAGAGAAAGAGAAGGAAGAGAGGGAAGACTGAATGTAAAAAAAGGAAGGGGAGAAAGAAACAAAAAAAAACAAGGGGAAAGGTGGTGGACCCTATTGGACCCTGAGTATTCACTGGTACAACAGACTTGTATCTCGATGGGTTGGGTTGCAGATAAAAATGGACGGAGAAGCAGTGCATTGCCTATGGTTTCATGGCCACTCCCAGAGACCAGGGAAGGCCAACTCGGGTGTGGCCTGCAGAAGCACCGCATCCAATCCTCACAGTGTCGAATGGTGTTGCAAAGACAGATATCACAGGCAACATGGCTTCCACATGCATAGAACACGGGCATGCCGATTGCAGTTATGTAGGCTCTGGATTCCCAACCCCTCTCTACAGAGTAGACATGCCATAAGGGGGTTTCCTGGATGAGTAGACAGGGCACTGTCATTGAAAGCGTGCGGTAGACAAGAACTTGCATGGATCATTCTCTCATGATGTGCATGACGCAGGTAGTGCTGATCACGTTCTAACCGGTAATCGGCTGGGTCATCACAGAGCGGCAGTTAGTAGAGAGTTTGTCGGGTTTGTACTTTTGCTGCCAATATAGCTCGTCTCTGGAGAGGTGATGACGGTGTTGGATCAAAAGTAAGGATGTTCAACTGTTGCGAAATCTTGGCTGCCACCTGAAGCACTACTGCACAGGTCCCCCCCCCTCTCCCCCCCCTCCTCTTTATGTGCTCCAAGACATGGTTGCATCCCTGCCGACTGCCGACCCCGACCACCGACCATATTGCAGCCGACCAGTAGGGCCGCCCGGTCGGCGGTCTGCCGACCAGTCAGAAAACAACCATCCACCATGGTTGCATCCCTGCCGACCGCCAACCCCGACCGTCGGCCCTATTGCAGCCGACCAGTAGGGCCGACCAGTCAGAAAACAACCATCCACTATTTTTTTTTTCAGATCTGAGTTGGAAGTTGTACTGCGCTTGCTGAGTACAGCCCAAATCCGCTGAGAAACTTTTGGGGATGGGTGGGGGGGTATAGGGGGATATAGGGGGTTATAGGGGTGGTATAGGGGGTATTGGGGGGGG